GAGTATATGGGCTCCACTAGGCAGGGGGACTATGGGAGGGTGCCACTTGGGATGTGGGTATACAGATGAATAAGATTTTTTAGGATGTTCTATATGAAATACACACAAAAAAATCAATAAATAAAAAATGAGTTATATTTGAAGAAGCATAAAAATTTGCTTCATGTTAATTAGTAAATGTGAAAAATATTATCATTGAAATCTACCTGATGACTTTATATCTATGCTCAGATGCCAAGGAGCTCAGAAAGTAATTGACTGTGACTAATAATAATCAGATATATAGAGATTAGAAATGCATGTGCATCTTAGTGTCAATTGTATTAAAATGAATTTTTCTGTATGTATTTTAATTTTTAATAATGAAATGGAGATCTTTTTCAAAGTTTAAAACCTCATTTAATTTTATGTCTTATAGGGTTTATACGGAGTACAATATTATATAACTCTATTAATTCAACTGTAAACCTAATAGCCAATTTTGCAATTTTGAAAGAGAAGTATCTTAGCTCTGGAAATTGTTATTGAATATGTCAATGCTGTTGTAATGAAATGCCTCTTCTAATCATTTGGTTATGAAATAAATAATTAAAATGATAAAAATAATAATTCATAGATGTGAAAAGCATTACCATTGAAATTTTTTAAATTTCTTTATTTTTATTTTATGCGTATGAGTGTTATGCCTCCATGCATGTAAGTGCAAAGCCTGCAGAAGAGAGGAGAGAAGAGAGTGTTGGATCCCCTGGAATTGGAGTGTCTGACAGTTGTTAGCTATAATGTGGGTGCTGGGATTTGAACCCATGTCTTGTACAAGAACAGCCAGTTTTCTTAACCTTTGAGCCACCTCCCCAGCTTCAATAAATATTTAAAAAAATAAACTGACATGAGTCTCTCTCTCTCTCTCTCTCTCTCTCTCTCTCTCTCTCTCTCTGTGTGTGTGTGTGTGTGTGTGTGTGTGTAAAAAAAAAGCTGTAATTGAGATTAATGCAATTAAGGAGGAACCTCTCAGTTTGCATTGGGACAATAGGAAAAGTATCTTGAGGGAAGAGCCCATCCATTCAAGGCTCCAGCTTGTAAAAATACCAAAAGATACTGAATTGAGAATATAGCTAAAAGAATTCTCTGCTTGAAAACAACTGCCTCTGAAAGTGTTTTCCCAGGTTCAGCAGCAAAGGCATACAGAAGCCACTATAGCTCTGCTAGAAAGGGGCCAGACTGCATCTCGAGCTGGTAGCATCATCCACATGATGCTGGTTTTACAGGTATTCAAAATGAAAGAGAAGTTGATGGTGACTTGCACCAGAAAGTTCCAGAAAGTTGTGGACACTAGCCAGTGTGTGGCAGCATTGGGCTAACTGCAAGGAGGCGCTGAGGGACCACTCTGGGAAGCTGGGAAGGTGAAGCCTGAGTTACAATGGCGACCCCAGGATGTTGGAAATGTCAGGACCATGGAATGTCCACTTAGGAATACTGCAGCACCAGGATGGAGCTGGCTCAATAGAGAAGTCACATGTACTGAAGGTGGGAGAGCTAGAGGAACAGGGCTGCCCAAGAGCAAGCTCTTTGGGGTCAGGTGATTCTGTCACAAGCCCAGTTCCTGAATATGGAATTTGTTGTTTGCTCTGCTGGGTTTAGTCTTGCACTCGTTGGATTTTTCTTTGTCATATCTAATTTCTCCTTTTGGAATGGGAATGTTTATTCTGTGCCCTTGTATGTTGGAGGAAAGTATTTTATCTTTTGTTTTAACAGGGGCTTGCAGTTAAGAAATTTCTTTTGAATCCCAGAAGAGATTTTGGACTATGGGCTTTTGAACAATGTTAGAACTGTCAAGAGTTTGGTGACTCTTGCAGATGAATTAAATGCATTATACAAGACTATTCTTTCAGGGACCATTTCTATAGTTTGTTACTGGAGGTTTCTCTGACTATGCAGAGTACCAGAAACCAGGAGGAGGTAGAACATTCCTTCTTGAGCATGAAGCTGGCTCTTGATGTTGCTTTGCTGCTAATGTCACTTGCCATTGTTGAATGGTTTTGTCTTCCTTTAAAGAGCAAGAGGGGGAGCTGCAGTCTGAGTGGTTCCTGTTATAAGCGTGCTTGATCAAATTACAGTTTTTTTTTTTTTTTTTTTTTTTTTTTTTTTTTGAGACAGGATCTTGCTGTGAAAGATTGCATCTTGAAACTGAACCTTCTGCAAAGGCTGATCAACTGATTAGAACTGCAGTGGAGAGTTTGGTATGTTGCAGGTCCAAACCCTAATTACAGTTTATCTTAAGCTATCTTTAGCCCCCTGAAATAGCCATTCCTTGCCCACCTCTGTTTCTTACTTAATATCCTTTGACTGACAGATAACAATCTTCTGGAATGTACTAACAAAGCCCTAGCACTCACCAACCAAAAGGCTGTTTCATTAGATAGCATATGACACCTATAGTTGAGATTTTTCTTTTGCTGCAGCTGCCTACTTAATGCTTCTACCAATATATTCGAAAATTGTCTATGACTTTACTTTGCTCTGTTACTATAAAAACTTTATGAAACTGCTTCCATGTTGAAACATAGAATTTGGGGTAACCTGAATCTGTGTTCCTGGGCCATGGTCACCCATATTTGACTCCATAATAAACTATTTCTTATCCCTTTTGAGGTGAGAATTGTGCTGTTGGGTTGAGAGCATTATGTAGACCTGACTGGCCTGAAATTGGTGATGTAGATCACGTAGGCGTCTAACTCTCAGAGATCTGCCTCCCTCTGCCTCTCAAGTGCTGGAATTAAAGATGATTACCATGCCTAGCCAAACTTTAGTTTTCCTTGAGCATTGTGTTCCATTTTTAGTCTTTTTTCTTTTTTTAATGCCAAGGGTGTGTTTTCCCCATTAAAAAAAATACCTTTTGCATTATGATATTGCCATGGGTCTTTGAGGATCAGGTGTTGAATGTTGTGATTTAGTGAGGTGTTTGGGTGTCAGGTTGACAAAGGGTAGACTTGTGTTTAGTTTGCTTTGTCAACTTGACTGGATTTGGAATCATCCAGAAGATACACCTCTGTGCAAGTCTGTGAGGGTATCTCCACAGAGGTTTAACTGAGAAGGGAAGATCAATCCTTAATATAGGCAGCATCATTCTGTGGGTTAGGGTCCTGGACTGAATAAGAAGAGAAGGAGGAAGGAAGCTGTGTACCAGAATTCATTTCTTTGTTCCTGACTGTCATGCAATATCAAGTCAAACAATTCTTTATCAGGCTTCCAAACTCTGGGCTATTATATCCTTGTCTTGATGAGCCCAGGGTCAGGACACAGAGGCATCCTCTGTACCCCTGAGCCACTGGAGGTAATCCCAGCGGCCATTCCTTTATCCCCCTCACTCTTCACTCTTGCTACCTCCTAAGGGGATCTGCTGTTTCCTGGGGTGGTCTTTTGTGGTGTGCTGTGTCTCCTGTTTCTAAAGATCTGTGAATATCAAGTTTTTCATTCACAATAGTAATTTCTGTGTCTGTTTGTCTTATAATACCAGAGCAAAACGAATTCCAAGTACCATTAAAACACACACAAAATCAATAGTCTGATCCCATTTAAATGAAGCTCAGAAGCAGGCAAAGCTAATTTATAGTGTTTGAAGTTAGGGTGGTGATTAGTGTGGGGAGGGAGTGAAAGGAGGCAGGAGGGGAGCTCCTGGAGTGTCGGTAATCTTTCCCCTGATAGGTGCAGATTATGAGAATATATTCCCTTTGTGAGAAGCAGTATAGCTTTACATTTACAATTTTATCACTTTCCTTATGAATGTAATACACACCGTTGCCTTTTTGACTTCAATTCTGTCCTATTTCTGTTCTTCACTGTGTAACTTTGCTTTAGCTTTCTACTCTGACACTGGAAACATCATGGGACTTGCTTTGACCAACAGAAGGAACGGAAAGTAAGCGTGTGCTAGTTCTTGGCCTGTGCCTCAAAATGCTGTATGAATTTCCTATGGTTTTATTATTATTATTCTTAACTGACATTATATAGAGTGGTGGGACTAGCTCACTTATCCCAGAATGATAGCGTGGGCTAAGGATACTTATTGAAATCTTGCCTAGAGCTGGGCTCTGAGGTGTTCCACAGAAGAATGAAGGAATCAGTAAAGTTCAGCCTGGATCAGCTGCTCCTGGTCAATCCACAGATGAACAAGCAGAAGCAATGGTTTTATTAAGCAGTAGACTTTAAGCATGAGTTGTTATTCAGCAAAAAATCATTACAGAAGTGGGGATAAAAAGATAATGAACACCTAAATTAGGCAAAGCTAAACAAAAAGAGAGGAAGAAGTTGAGATGGAGAAATTTCATTCTGAAAGTTATTCCAGTGAGCAGGGTTTGGAATGCCTCATGCTGTCCTGATTCTGTCATGGTGGTGTGACAGCCTAGCCTCAACAAGCCAGCTTCCCACCCAGGTTGTGGCTACTGAGGGTAAAGAGGTAACAACCCAAGACCCAGAGGGAAGATTTAGGTAGAGTGGAGGGGAAAGATAAATGGGTTGAATCTGAAGTCTTTGAAGGACATAATGTGTTTTCTAGCAAGGAGAAAGCAATCCTGAAGCTTGGGTCATTGCTTGAAATCTAGATTTGGGGATCTTAAATGAGTAGTTAGGACAGGAGGAAGTTAGGACCAAACAGCTGCTGAGATAGCAACACCCTGTAGTCCATGGGAAGTGCTTCCGCAGAGGGAATAGAGCGCCAGAATGTCAGGAGGGGCGTCTGAAAAAGGACAGGGTTGGGTGGAAACTGTGGGGAGTGAAGGTGTTTCGGCAACTGGAGGAGGTGGGACGTCCTGGCCTGGCATTCTCTGTTGGGGACCGCCCAGTGATCGCACCTAGGGTGTGCATTAGGGTGGAGAACCACGGGCTTCTTTTGGACCCTTGTTTGGGCCTAGAAGCTGCAGTATCAAAAGTTGATGGGTGAGGAGCAAGTCATCCGAGGGCAGCCCAAGAGGGAGAGGAGCAGAAAGCCTTGGAGAGAGATGGCAGGCACCAGTGGGTGAAACAGCCCAAGACACTTTTTGGCGTAAGCTTTGGTCTTGTGCCCCCCTCCCCACCACGCAGTCCGCCAGAGCCCGGCGGGCGAAAAGAGCATCACTGCTGAAGAGAGCCGGAGCACGCCGCGTCTAGGTGGGAGGCACGCCTCGGGGGCGGGAGCCCAGGTCCGAGGGGCGGACACCGGGTGGTGTCTGGTACTCCATAGTCTGGTACTCCATAAAGCTGCCGCTCTCTCTTACACCCCGCGACCACCAGCTGGGAACTCAGCACAATGCCCACAATGCCTGGTGCGTGCCAGCAGAGCTCGGTACTGGCAGGTAGCGCCACTTTGATCACCCTGGGGGCCCTGATTGTGTTCTCTGGGAAACCCGGCGGCTACGGCAAGCACACCCTGAGCGGGACGTCAGGAGCTCGCAGCCTGCCGGCCCGCATCGCCTGGTTCGTGCAGGAGCTGCCAGCCTTCTTGGCGTCGGCGGGAATGCTTACCCAGCAGCCAGGTCCTCTCTTCGGACATCCCGGGAACGTGCTGCTGGGTCTCTTCTGCGTACATTACTTCCACAGGTAGCGTTTCCCGGGTGCGGATACGCAGTGCAGCGCCCTGCTGGTCTTCGTGCATTGGGGAACGTCGAGGGGCAGTGCGCGCCCGGTGAGGAGTGCGGGGAGCACCCTACGGGGAGCATTGGCGCGGACCTAGCTCGGGGTTGGATGCCCGGGAGTTAGCAGCTTCGGGGAAAGGCGCCTCCTTTACTCTCCCGCGCCGTCCTTCGCCCCTCGGATGCTCCAAATCATTTGCCTGCGCTAGAGAAGGAGGTAGCAGCGGGAGGTGAGCAGGGCTCTTCCCTCTCCAACCGCGCACCTGGCGAGTGCCTGCTCAGTCTCTTGTCCACCTTTCCAGGTTGGTTTAGAGATCTTGGGACAGTCTTTCCTCAACCTTGGCATCTCTGGGAGGCAACTCAGCTCAGAGGTTCTGATCAACTTGGTCTTTGTGCGTCTGACCGGGGAGGTGCCCAGACCTGGGAGTCACAGGTGGGAAGAGACCATAATTAGGGTCCGGCTTGCCTTCAGTCAAGACCCGGCTTCTTAGACCCCACCCAAAAGGGACTGAGCTCACCGCCAACTCATTTACATTTCCAAGCTCCTCAAAAGTAAGCGAATCAAAGCTGAGAGCTCAAAAGTTCTAGATTTAAAATTCTGAGTTCAGGAAAAGCTTGAGTTTCTGGTGTGGGGGAAAGACAGGAAAGTGATCAAAAGACACTGAGTCAAAGAATGACTGTGGAACCTCCAAAAAAAGTCTTCCAGGGGAAGAGGAAACATGCCACCCAAGAGCCTGCTTACCATGTCCTTTTGGTGTCTATTGTCTGGCTTACCTCTTGTAACCTTGTGAGATGGCCTTATTATGCCCACTTTACAGTCAAAGAAACTGAGGCCAAGAACATTTATGCAGCTGAAGGAAGGTGCCACCAGTAAATAGATAATCCATGCAGGAAGACAGCAGGGGTCATGGATAGGGAAAGGCTGCAGAATACTGAGCAGTGCTGCTTTATTCTGAGTGGAGGATTCCCAAGCTCAGGTCAAGCAAATTTAGATTAGAAGTTAGATAAGAAAAGTCTCTGGGGGACTGAAGGCAGAATTTCTTAACACTTCATCTCCAGAAAAGGAGGTGTCAGAGCCACAAATGTTACCCCATCTTTACTTAACCCCTTATTATTCTCCAGATTGTCTTTATTGGTTAAGTTTTAATAACTGTGCAATGTTCCCTGAATTCTCATTCTTTAAAAAAGATACGTACTGGTGAGCAGCAATAAGTTTGTGTTCTTCCAGTAAATATTTACCAAAGGTCTATTGTGGACAGGATCCCAGGGTAATTATCAGCCACTTTATTTTACCCAGATTTAGAAGGTTTAATTTGAACAGAAAGAAGGATGTTAGACACAGGAGAGAAAAGACTTGTTTTGGAAGGCTTGTTTGGAAATAGATATTTGACAGGAAAGTATGATTACATGAACAATTATTTTCATCTTCAAATTAACTACTGTCAACATCATAAGCAGTATGAGGTCATTTCATATTAATGATGCATGATCAATGTTTTCTGACAATCCTATGAACATAATTTTTAGACTTGCTTTTAAAACCAAAAGGCACTTTGCACAACAAATTATGACCAGTGCCTTTAAAATAAAAAAGTGATTACCCGGGAAACAAATACATACAGGCTGTTCATCATTGTCAGAGGAATTTAAAAAATATTAGTAAAGGGCTTCAGGATTGATTCTGTCTGAGGGAAAATTGCTCCTGAAAACACAGCTCTCAGTTACTTGTCTCTAAGTCACCAGGCTGTGCTGTTTGTGAAGCTTTCCAACTGTGTTTAAACTCTTCCTTTGAGGCTCCTGGAGCACTGCAGGTGCTGTTAAGTACTTACTAGATGTTATACCCTGTGCCAAACACTATGTAAATTATGTGCTAATCCTCATACCAACTGGTTATGTAGGGATTGTTATCATCTCCATGGGTGCTGGAACAAAAAAGGGCTCAATAAGTTACCTAAGATTACCCAATATTGTGACGAATCAGAGATCACACCCAGGTAGTTTGTATCTGGATCCCAGGTTCTCAGCGTAGCTGTTCAAACTTGTTCATGCTTTTTAAAAACTATAGGCCGGAAACTGTTATTGCTGAATATCTGCTTAGAATTTGTGAGGTCCTAGGGTTCAAGTCCCACCACTCAAAAGAAAATTTCTCAGGAATGATTTGAAAATTATGAAGACTCTTTAGGCTCTTGGTACGTGTATACCTGGAGGATTTAGGAGTCATTGGGCTTGCTAACAAGAGTGAATTAAGGAAGAATCATTAGGATGTCTTGCTATGACAGAGGATAATATGGAGGGACCAGGTCTTAGAAAAATGAATAGCTGAAGTTTGGCTGAAATTCTTTTACAAAGTGTCCCCTAGGGACTGTTCAGTGTAGCAATCTATTCAGTGGGGGTACAAGTTAAAAACTTACTGCACTTTTCTCAATACAAGGGTAATACACTAGAATAAGTTCTGCAAGGACAAGTTGATTTTTTTGTAACTTTTTTTTTTTTTAACAGACTTTGCTACTGGAGTGTTGGTACATAGTTGATATTCACTAAAATTTGTTGAGTGGATGAATGAACTCTACTGGCAACAGCAGTGCAGATAGAATTGTGGGATATTAGCAATCACTTAGGAATCACGATGGCTGAGGTTGCATGGCTAGGTCAACTCAGATCACTCTCCTGTCTTCAGAGTCTATTGTGGTAGATGGGTGGGTTGTTTAGCCACATGGAAGTGACTGCTGCCTAATCCCACTGCCAAGCTGCTGCAGTCAGAGTTACTGATTGCTGATTTCCACTCCAGTCCTGGGGTGACTCTTTGTCCAAATTCTTTTTGATATTCACTTTCCCAAGAAGTCTTATTCTATATAGTGGCTGTCACACCACTATATAGTAGCTGATATCTTTTTAAAGATTTGGAAGTAACCTCAATAATTGGTTAAAAAAAAATTTCCCTCTCAAAAGGTCAGAAGGTGTTGGGCTGATGCATACATTAGAATCTGGATTCTAAGAGATGCTGAACTATTTCTTATCAGCCCACTAAAATGGTGACTTTAATAAAATACCTTTTGCTTTCTCAATGAATTCTCCAATAGCATAAATTCTTTTTCATTTGAGACACAGGCAAGGTATCATTTCCTCTAAGAAGCTTTGACTAAACCTCTTCTCTGTGAATCCCACTGTGATGTTATTCCTCAGGCTTTCCAAATGCCCATTGCCCTTGAATTTAATGATCTAAGGAGACTTAGTCTTCCTCTGTCCAACTTCTACTGTTTTCTCTCCTCACCCTTCCAACTTTCACATTTTACAGGAACCAAGCACAAGGGATCAGCAGAGTGAGACTTGGACCTGTTTTCTCCTGGCCCTGCTAGTGGGGCCACTTGTCATTTAAGAGGTATAGCTGTTTCAGGTATTCAGGAGTAGCAAACCTCATGTTCTACTTTGCTTCTCTATTACTATGATAAAAACACCGACCAAAAACAACTTGGGAAGTAAAGGGTTTATTTTATCTTATGTCTCCCAGGTCATAGTTTATCACTGAGGGAAGTCAGGGCAGGAACTCAGACCAAGAACCTGGAGGGATGGGCTGAAACACAGACCATGGAGGAATGCTGCTTACTAACATGCTCTTAGAACATCCCATGAAGCTTTAAGCACTCTTTCCAGTTCAAATCTCCAAACACTTCCACAAGCCTCTCCAAAACAACATGGTGAGGTCTGTCACAGCAATATCCCACTCTCTGGTCCCAATTTCTGTATTAGTTTGGATTCTCTAAAGGAGCAGAACTGATAAAATGAAGGCATGGAGTATTCCTGGAGGTATGCTTGTCTTCAGTTGGTGTTGGAATCTGAAGAAGTTGGTTCTATATTGGCAAATGAATGCCACAACAGTAAGATAGATAAATTTGCCTGTGAGAGTGAAGGCAAGCAGGCAAAAACAAAAAGCTCCCTTCTGCCATGTCCTTTTATATTGACTGCTATCAGAAGATACTGCTCCCATTTAGAGTGGGTCTTCTAGCTTCAAATAATCTGATCAAGAAAGATTATAGTTAATTTCACAACCAAGATTAGTTATCAAACCTCACCAAGGAAATAACTCATTGGCTGAGAATCAGTGATGGTGTCTACATTGAAGACAGCACACAAACCTCTGCTCTTACAGATCAAGATGATAAGCAACATTCTTGTTATGTGTTGAGATGTAACATATAGCAATTATTGGAAGAACTTTTACATTGGGAATTAGAAAACTTTGTTTTGAGACAGAATCTTGCTATGTAACCCAAGCTGGACTTGAACTTACTGTTCTCCTGCCTCACCCTTTTGACTGCTAGGATTAGTGGTGTGTGTCACCATTCCTGGCCACAGCAAACTTCCATAGAAAAGTCAGATTGTTCCTATTTTAAAGTTTTCAGCCATTTGGTCTCTGTTGGAATAAACAGATCCCTGCTGGGTATAGTAAAAAGCAGCAGCAGGTATTATGTGAGCAAACAATATGTTTATGTCCTAATAAAGCTTTATTTACAAAACCAGTAGTGGTTCTGATTGGCCTGTAAACAACAGTTTTAGCAACCCATCTTTAAGAAACCAATGACATACTACACACACTACCCTGTTAATATTTTAATAAAATCTGGTTAAATTTTATAGCAAAGCATTGGGCACATTACAGAAAATGCCTGCTATATTTAATTGGAACATTTTCTTAGAACTCTTGGGTTCCAAGTCTTTTATGTGAATGCCTGTGGGAAATAGAAGGCATCCTGGAGTTTTCCTTTTACCTAGAATGACATTATAAACACATCAGAAGGAATACAATACTATGTTTGCCAACAATGTAAACAAGGATTGGAACCCTTGGCTGCCTCACTTTTATACATGGCAGAATGCATCAACTCCTTACTCATTTTAAATCTAACTTTATGTCGCTGAAAAGGAATAAGCAAAATGAGGAAACAGATCCAGATTGGTGAGGTGACATGG